AACAAGGAAACAAAACACGCGCATCACAGGGTGATTGTGTGCCACATCAAAACCATAATCATTCCTATGTAGTTTACATAACCTGAAATTATACATTATCTTTTTAACAAATATCTTGCAAATAAAGTGCGAGTACCTTTAGCTATATTTTCCTGTTACAGATATTAACATTAAAATAAAGCTATTGCCATTAACAGAATATAATATAGAAACGTGCTGACATTTTATTTTCTTGTGCAATAACAAACAAGATGATATGCCACTTTCACAATATCCCTCGATTTTGAAATCAATTTGCCGCTTTTTTATTTTGAATAAGAAAGGGACAATATTTTAAAACAAAGTTATTTAATAACATTTTTAAAGCACAATACATCAAAAACAGAACGAAAACTGTCTTTACTCCAAACAAGGAATCACTATTGATAAATAATTATAAACGCAAGATGCATAAAAAAGAATAATGTTTAAGAACCGTCACTATAATATAAGATATACAAACATTTATCTTTAGCCTCATATCCTCGCATTAGCAGACTTCGGTCCATCCTAGGAATCAGAAATACGCCCAAAAATGCACCGACTAAAATACGCCTGAGAAAGGTAAAGAGTCCGATACTCGCATTAAGGAAAATAGTGAAGAAGCTAAATACGTCGTACATATTCCTGAAATAAGAAATAAAACATAATGATCAATCATAAGTCAGTTTGACAAGTATTCGGCCAAATTGTCCATGCTTGTATTAAAGTGTTCAAATTTGTGTACTATTGTCTTGAATAAGTTGAAGAACCCGTTAGCTGTCTCGTAGTATATTCCTGTATTTCTTTAATTTACTTTGATTTACTTTATTTAGAAAATAAAAAGAATCACATAAAATGCCCTTACTTGTGTGCATTCAATAATCATTTATGGCTTAAAGTTGTTATACTTATAAAAAAATAAATTTTGAGGCTAATAGCTGACAAGGTTTTACTTGATATTTTTACTATGATTCATTTAATTACATATGTTTGTCTTTAAATAAATATTGTCAAGTCTATCAAAAAGTGATAGTTAATAATAAGGAATTCAGGAATTTGATAGCTTTGAAAAACAAATTATAGATTATTGCACAAATGCCCCTCGACATCTAACTTGGCCATTAGTTTTAACTCATTACAACGTAAAGTTACTGTGTTGAGTTTTTTTAAAGGGCAACTCTATCAACTAGTTCACAAGTTATTTACCTATTATCTACAGCTAGTGGTCTCTATTTGTCCTCAGCATTTATTTTCGGTTGGATGAAAAATAGACCAATCAAGAGAATTTGTGATTTGAATATGATGACAAGGCATATCGGATATCTGCAAGAAAACATCTTAGAATTTTAGAAAATATGTATGTGTCAATCGGATTCAATAGAACACTTTTGAATTGTCATATCAACGTGACCATAATTAAAGAACAATATCTTATTTTCTTCAAATAACGCTTCAATTTAACCTGCCGTTTTACCTGATTATTTTTTCTTTTACTGTATGAATTCATGTATGGTGCAATAAATGTAAATGATTTAAATGCGAGCAAATATTCTTTTATAATTGTATTAATAATACTTTTGAAGTTTACATGCGCATGAAGATATTTTGTCGTCGATGTCTTTTTCGGTTTTTTGGTTATTGCATTTTTACTATTGCCAATTTCTTTAAACCATATATATATGTTTTGAATCGTAAGATATGTAATTAAGATAATAAGAATGTTATAGATACATAAGCCACTGAAACTGTATCCATATCTGGTCAAGTAGATTCTTCTGATTAAGGATTTTGATTGTCACAAACATTGCCGCCAATGGCAAAAAGACAAGCAGGTAGCAAAATATTGTTCCTGGAAGATAAAAATACTTAATGACATTTGATGAAAGATAGGTATCTAATTGCGACAGAAATTACGAAGTATCTATTGTTCCCAAAAATTCAGCAATTTTCTTCATATCTTTAACTAAATAGACATGTTCTATGAATTAATAGAGTTAAGGTGACTAAACCTACCCCAAAACATCCCAGTTATTGATGTGCCAATAAATCGCATTCCTTGAGCCTGTAACAACCAAATATATTTCCATTAGGGTGCGCAATGCATAAACTAACTTCACCAATATAATTTACTAATTTATTTTAGGAAATATACGGTAAAACTATATATGTGAAAAAATAAGCCGACTGAGTTCACTTCCGAAAATATTACATGTTGACTCGTTGACAAACAAATAAATTTCGTTTTAAAAGGAAAGGCAATAATGTAATTATCGATGCGGGAAAAAAAACCAGAAATTCTGTTCCGAAATGTAAGAAAATACATCGACACTTTGAGATGGCTTACCATGTAAACATTTGGTGAAAATGTTTGTACCGTATTGGGAATGAAGCTTCTGTCACCCTTAAACAGCATCAGCATGTCTCGCCTGTATTTTTTTAAAAAAAAGATCACGTTTGATATACGAGGGGTTATCCAAAAATTCGTGGACTTTCTTTCTTGCGTAAAATATATTTGAGATATTCATTTGAAATTCTTACACTGCTTAGAAGAATTAATAACAAATGAACACAGAAAAATTCATGTGAGTAGCTTCTTACATTACAACAATATTCAATGTTACCTAAACACATGTCGGCGACAGCGGCGCACTCCAAAAAGTCATTGACGTCAACGTCATAATATTAACGTACAACTTGTGCTTCAACGTTACACAGTCAATGACAGATACTGCTTCTTAAAGTAATGTCCATCACTAACTTTCTAATGTCACTTTAACACTAATGAGCATGAAATTTTCTTTTCTCTGTTCGTCTGCTGATTTTTAACAAATGTTTTTGTAGGTGACATTCCCAAATGACAACAAATATTTATGATCGTTTTATGATCGCGCGATTTTCTAATTACCGCTTGTCCGTCATTTTTCCGTAGTAAACAAAAAAGGCGTCTGTCGTTTCCAGCGATATCAACAAAAATAAACGGAAATGACGTCCATTATTTTAAAGAATTATTTAAATGACATCATAGAAGAAACATGCAATGTTCAGCGGGTTTTCTACGTTAAATTTTTAGTTTTTTAGCAAGAAATATACTATGACTTACTGCGCTTTTCTACCGTGCGCCGGGTGCCGTGTATGTGCTAATTTAAAAACAATATGAAATCATTATTTATTGGCACAATTAACTGTTCCTTTCAAAATGTGTTGATAATATTCTAAAATGCATGCTGATAAAATTTCATAACAATACACGTTGACGTTCAAGAGATATTTAAAAAGTCCACGAATTTTTGGATAACCCCTCGTACATGTTGATAAACATACAAAATTGATATTTGAAAATATTGGTAATTGCTATTATGTCTCTATGTAAATATAATATTAACGTGTTTTGACTTCACATTAAGAACACCGTAGGGAACGTGTTACAGTATCGCGTTACATGTTACAGTATAGAATTTTCAAGAAAGGGGATTGTTTGTTGGGAAAACAGGCAGGTGATTTTTTATTCCGGTCCATAATACAAGCAGTTTAGTTTCTAGGAGATGCTTTGCTTGTAAGGAACAGTGTCCGGTATTTAGTCATATATTTCTTTAGGCCTTGCCCTGCACTATTATTTCTATTCTGTCTCATAAATATGCTGATTTGACAGATCGAAAATTCGAATTGAATACAACGCATTTTTCTCCCATCCCGAAATTATTTAAGCATGCCTACAAAAAATAATCTGCAAAACCTTAGTCCATTGTCTTTAGAAACGTTAATTAAAGTAAATGACCAGTTGAACATATTTTCCTGTTTGTCAAATGCGTTTGAAAAAAATAAACAATGTTACAGTATAGAGCGAGGTGAATTTGCAGGGTAACAGTATAGACCGAGCGACTTTGATTTTGCTACAGTATATATCCAGATTTCATTTACAGTTTAGATACTTGCACAATTTCAATTAAAGTTCGTGTTGCCATGATTGTTATAAAATATCCCATACCTTTCTATTTAATATATTCATGAAGGGTTGTATAACATTTTTCTTCAGCAGAAAAGTTATTGTTTGCTTTTTTCCTTACTTTCAGTACTTATAATCAAATTGAAACTTGAAGTAATTTGAAGTAATGTCCTATGTATGTACTGTTTTCACAACAACAACAGTAACTGTTATCAAATTGTATGCAGAGTAGAAAGATTAATGCCTGATTCCATTACACATTATAATACATATTAGCAAATAAATAGAGAAAAACAGAATCCTTAAAGAAAGTTCAACACGAAAAATGAAATGTTGCAGGCTCGATTGATACACTAAGAGTGATTATACAGTATTCAAGTGAGGAAATACTGTAACCTTAAAACTTATTTTAAGGTGGGATTTCCATCCAAAATTATTTATTGTGTAAATATTTAAAAAATGTTTGTTACTTTTAGTTTTCTTGGATTTTAAGTTCCACCGACATTGAGGTCATGTGAAAACATTTCTGCTTTACTGCAAAGAAAGACCCCAGACACCCCTTTGTGAAAAGCTGTAACCGAAATCTTGGTATAAACTGTAACAAAATTGGATAAAAATCGCTCGGTCTATGCTGTTACCCTGCAATTTTCACCTCGCTCTATACTATAACATTGTCTATTTTTTCAAACGCATTTGACGAACAGGAAAATATGTTCAACTGGTCATTTACTTTTAAAAACGTTTATAAACACAAATGACTAACGTTTTATAGGTTTACGTTTTGTAGGCATGCTTAAATAATGTCGGAATAGGAGAAAAATGCATTGCTCATTCGAATTTTCAATCTGTCAAAACAGCACTTTAATGAGCCAAAATAGAGATAATCCTGCGGTGCAAGGCCGGAAGAAACATATGACTAGATACCGGATCTTGTTCCTTACAAGCAAAGCACAAAAACATCTTTAAGAAACTAAACTACTTGTAGAATAGACCGGATAAAAAAACCTACCTGTATTCTCCACAAATGATTCTCCATCTTGAAAATTCTATACTGTTTGAGTTTGAGCTTATCATATTTTTAAGCAAGTGCCATTCTAAGCCACCACCTTTTAAACATACATGCAAATGTAAACATATTTTACGAATCTTTAAATGGTGGTGATATCTATTTACGTTGATGTAAAACGTGTACTTACTTACCTATAATTCATTAGGAAGCTGTAGATGTTACTTATACCACAGAGCAACGTGCTCATAGTAGCAATAACATTGGCAGCTGAAGCAAATTACAATGTTTTATTTAAATTATTAAGTAAGCTGCATGTGCCTTAAATATCTATTATAAGTTGGAGTGTGTATATGTGTCCGCACATATGTACTTATGTGTGCGCGCGTGATTTTGTGCGTGATTTAGTGAAATAAACAAGTAAATTCATTTAAATTAAAAATGAAAACAAAAATTATTTTATTTTTGATGAATTATATTTGTTCAAAATATCTTAGCAAAAAAAAGGTAAACTTTCCTTATGTATGTTTATATTTCGACTATTTACGAGGGGCGTTCAGTTTATTATAAAACACAATCAAAACACGTTTTAAGATCTTATAGCTTACAAAAATCGTGAAAAGCTATTAATTTACGTAGTGTGTCATTCATATACCCATCTCATTTGAACTCACAATCAATATGGTAAGACCAAAAGAAAGAAGGATGAAGAAAATCCTTTTGAAGAAAAGGATGTTCCGCGGAAACATTGAGAAACAAGTAAAACAGATTGGTCATAATGTTTCTGCTGCCTATCTTCCTTACATTCAACATGGTAAAGGTGCTATTTGAAATTACATACGCATAACAGGTAAAATGTTTTTGTTTTTCTACCAAACGTCTTACAGCAGCTACTGGTTATGTCGTACGTAAGTCTTTAATGTGATAACGTTGGTCAACCCTCCCACAGTAATTGAAATGGCAGCTGAATTAGGGGTGTCTGTAGGCAGGGCAACCCGAGTAATAATAAAAGCAAAACTAAGGGAAAAGTGCCGTGTTTATAGACTTATTGAAGCCCAGATTTTGAAAAAATGTGTTCGATCATGGCGTCTATATGTACGTCTTAACTGCCACAGATGAGGCTTTGTTCTATTTGGGCGGTAGTCACGGACGTCGTCGTGTTTGCTACGTTCGAACTAATAAGACAGACCTGAACAAACTGAAGTTTGTAAAACGAGATGCATTTGCACTTGGGTTTACGCTTTGGGCCGGGGTTTGTTACTACCGCAAGACATCTCTATTTTTTATCATTAAAGGGGTTAAAGTCAATGCAATACATTACATAGACTGAGTACTAAAGCCATTTCTCAAAATAGATATTTTCCCGGAAGAAAGAATGATTTTTTATTCCATCAAAACTCGGCCTCTGGTCATATCGCTAAAATGACCACTTACTTTCTCAACAATTTGCAAAATGTATTACATAACACCTGCAGAAATAATACCAACATGCTCAGATGCAGCTACCATTGAATTTAATGGCTGGAATATACCGAAATATAGGCTACAGAAACCCAAGATTTATATCATGCCGGTCTCAAAAAGGTTTCAAAGACAAATGGAGTAAACTTGAACAGTCATGCATAAGCCGAACTTAAGAAATCGGGACCTCCGAAGAGGTGTAGAATGATTTACTTTTGTCATGTATCCCAGATTTAGCATCTTTTAAATAAAACACATGCCAATAAATCATTCAAAGGGAGCGGTGACCAAGTGGTTAAGGTGTCTGCCTCTCAACCCGCTGATCAAGGGTTCGAGCCGTAATCAGGTCACGACAATGTTTTTTCGTATGGCACCAGTACTGGTTGGTTCCAGGAAGTAGAAGTGATAAGTATAATTTGCATGAACTTGTTTCGCAATAGAGCTTAAATAAATGTGTTTAAACCTAAGTAAATCATTACGCCGGTTTCAAAACTGATTAATAATAAATTGAACACCCCTCGTAATTTTCAAACAAAATATTAAGTTACCATCGTTACCTTGTACAAGGCCTTTATAATCGTTGAAATGTACTGCCACGACTTCTAGCGCATGAGCCAAACTAAGACTGACCTGTTAAAATACAGGATTGTGCAAGAAAGCTATTCCATTTAGACCTTCACTACACGACATTTATCGAAAACTTTAAAAAGATTACCGCTGACAAGCGCTAAATGTAAGAAGGCAACATAACGGTTATTGACATGAAAATGTACAAATCTCTCTAGTGTCATGGCTTGTGTGTAACATGTGTGCCTAAAGCACTCTTTATCACAATAAATGATGTAACTGAAATAAAATAATTTGACACAACCATTCAGTAATTTTTATCAAATTGTAGCATAATGTTATACTAGTAGAGTGATAAGTGCTGCTAGCCTTACATTCACAAGTCATTCACAACAAAAGTCTGTAAAAAAAAACAAAAAAAAAAACGAAAACTGATCAATCGTAGCAACACGCTTTTTATTCAAATTAAGAGAAGAATTATCATCATCATCAATATTTTTATGATTTACCAAACTTATTTATGGCCTTTTTAAATCAAAAGCGTTTGACAGTGGTAGAACATATTAAAATGGAAATATTATAATTTGCATTCGACAACTTAATTGCACTTACATTCGCATATATTTACACACAATATATGATTGTACTAACATATCATAAAAGAATTGAAAAAGATTGTAACAACATGATTTATATCACATTATTGTCGAAGTCCTCGGAAAATGCTGTGTAAGATACATTATTAAAAAAATATTCAAAGTCTTTGTGTGTTAAAAGGTCATATAATACACTTGAATTTCTCACAACGGATGGTAGATTGTTTCACAGTTTCGAAGCTGCAATCAAATCGTAGGTCTGTGTGTTACATTTGTACTTTTTACTATCGCAGATTCATTCTTGGATTGTAAAAATATAATATTTCAATCAAATATTCGTTGATTAACCATTTAAAACTTCGTAGGTATGCGTTAAAATCTTAAACTGAATTATTTTATGCACTGGAATCCAATGTTGTTTAAGAACGAGTGTGATATCAATCAAACAATCAATCAATCGATCAATCTGATTAAAATCAGCCCTAAATAACGCTTTGCTTTTAGATCTGACTATGACCAAATTGGAAGTCGTGTCTGGCGACCTTTCACTTAGCCAATCATCGGCGAGCTTTAATAATTTGGAAAGCGATGCGGTTTTTAATTTTAACCCTGGGAAAAGCAATACTGAATAGGTAATTTTCCATGTCGAGAACAAACATGGCGCTGTATATAAAGTCGACAGGTAAACTTGCAAACAAACTTGCCTATTAAAAATTTACTTTATTATTTCAAGTTAATTTGTTAAGAATTACTTCAACATTTATTTCTGACAAATATATTTTTTTGTTAACTTCCACGGATAACGGTATTCTTCTAATGGCTATTGACTGCACGGCTAAAAATATATTTCTCGGGAAATCCGAATTAAAAAGAAGGTGAAACATATACATTGTCATCAGATCTACATGAAAGAAATAAGTAGATCTGAACTTTAGTCAGATGGGGTGTGATATTATCTTATGATGGCGGCAGCTGTGTTTTGATCGATATGCAGTTTGTTGAATTTTGTTTGAGGTCCATGCAGTAGCACATAGCAGTAATCTAGGCGCGAGATAACTGATTAAGTCACAAGCTAACAAGTTGTATCAATTGTTAAATATTTTTTAAAATTTGCCGGTTTATCTAAGTTGTGCATAACATTATCTACATACAGAATTAACATGATTTCCCATTTTTGTGTTGAAATTAAAATATGGTTAAATTTTCGTGTCCGTAAATATTATAGATATATCTTTATTGTGTTTTGAGTTCTATTGATATGGGCACATGATGATATGTGTTAAGAGGTTTTTGCGTGTTAATAGTCATACATGATGGCACGAGTGAATGCTTTGTAATATTGCCTCCTTAAAGACACCATCTGATCGTTTGAATGATAGATAGAGCATAGAAATGGTATTGTTGATCATGATCTTTGCACGAAGCAAAAAGAGTTTTAGTGTAGATTTTATAAAGTTTTGCCCTAGTAAGGACCCCTGTGGAACAATAAAATTCAATGTGACCTGGTTTGTCTGTACTGTGTACTGTCTGTATGGGTCACCCAATCGTTTGGATTCAGAGACAGGTTTTTTCAATGTCTGTTGTCACTGATAAAGAACCATTTCATTTAAATTGCGCCGAATTGGACACACTAAAGTTACCCACTCTGATCTCCTCACGAATGACAATGCCCCTTTCTGTGTAGCTTGCAATGAAAATTTTACTGTCAAGCATTTTCTTCTGGAATGTCATGATTTTTTCACAGGCCCGTAATAGATTTTATAATGTAAATTCACTCAAAGAACTCTTTAATACAATTCCATCAAAAAACATCATCGATTATTTGAAAGAGATAAACTTGTATTCAAGGATCTAATTGGCTCTTTTTCGTTGTCATTTGCAGAGTTTTACAAAATATTTTAAGCCGATTATAGCATTCGGCACGATATGGCCATTTATGTGTTGACGTGCCGTAAAATCCAAACAAACAAACGTTTATATATATCTCCATTACCTTTTGCATTTTTTTTTATTTAAGGTTCAACAAATGATATATGTTATTATTCAAAATACAATATTTTCTTGCCCTGTAAAGCTAAGTGGAATTCTTTAATCAATTGTCACAAATTATCACAAGGACTGTGAAAGAAATATTAATTTCTAAGCTCCTACCAAATTGTCTTTATTTTGATGAAGAAATCTTCTATGAAGAAGAGGTATGAACACACTTGATATGAGCAAGAGTGTGTGAACATATATCTCTTCCACATTGTCGGGCACGTTCAGCATGAGTAACATATTTGTATTAGTCTTATAACAATGGAAATTGCCTCCGAAGTTGTGGGCATAACTTTTAATACATAACATGAAAAGACAGAACTTACTTGATCAAGTATTCAATCGGATATAACAATTATAACTTATCCTTTTGATATATGTCGATAAATTTGGCACTCCTTTTCATTCATTTTTAACGTTTTTTAAAAGTTTTGAATATTGCAATTTCCCCCAAGGAAACCCTTAAACCCGAAAGGGGGGCCCAAAAAAGGTGCCCCACTTTAACCCTTTTTATAAATAAACAAACTGAATCAACTGATTCTGCCCAAATTTTTTAAAGGGAAACTTGTTTTTTTTTCCATTTTTTTTTTGGAAAAGCAATTAAACACCCTTTATCAGAAATTTTTTGTTCCAACCCCCTTTTCATTTTTTCCAAAAATTTTCGTTTTTTTTTAATTTTGGCCCCCTTCAATTTTAAATTTAAAAAAAATACTTCCAATTTTTTGAAATTGGAAATTTTTTTCAAATGGGAAATTTTTTTTGCCCTTTTTTTCCCAAGGGCCCCCCCTTGTTTTTTAAAGATATACAAAATTTAAAAATTTAATTTTTGATACTTGGGTTTCACCCGTCCCCTTTGTAAATTTTTAAAAAAAAAAGATGTCCCGAGTACAAAACAAAATAAATGTGTTATGGGTTTTAAGCTCTTTTTAAAATTTTAAAGGGGGAAAGCATTATAAATATATAGTGCCCCTTTAAAAAAAAATTGCCCCGAAATTTTTTTTTAAAAAGGAAAGGGCCGTCTTAATAGCTTCCCCCTTTTTATTTTTTTATTAAAATTAAAAATTTTTTAAAATATTTAAAAATGAATTTTGTAGATTTTGGGTTTAAAAATTTCCCGCAATGAATTTTTTTTAATCTAAAAATGAAAAAACAATAATTTTTAAAAAAAAAAATTAAAACAACATTTTTAAATGTTAAATTAAAATTTTAAATAATTAAAAAAAAGTTCTTTTTTAAAAGAACAAATTAAAAAAGGATGAAAAGGAAAAAGTATCATATAAAAAGCAAAATACATACACCCATTCCAATTAAAAAGATAATTAGAAAAGGGCATAAAAATTTAAAAATAACTTTTCTGAATATAGTAAGCACAACCCGGGCCAAACGGGGTTTTTTTATCATGATGGCTTTTTGGGGAAAACTTTAAATTTCCCGGGGACAGGTGAAAATAAAAAACTTGCGATGTAATTTTTTTTTCCCAAAATCCCAAAATTTTTTTTTTTGGAAAAGGAAAAAAAAAAATATGAAAAAAATTTCTGAACGAAAAAAAAATTTCTCCCGGAAAAACCGTTTAAAAAAAACTTTTTTAAATTTTTCTATGTTTATTCCTTGGTAGTTTAAAAGCTTTTTCAAAAAGGGTTCAGGGAAAAGGTTTTTTATTTCATTTTCGCGGAAAAAGGGGGTTTAAAAAATTGGTTTTGGAATGGTGCAAGGGAAATTTTAAATCCTTTTTACAAAAAGTCTTTTAAATTTGATAACTTTATTTTATGCATATCATAAAAAACCCCAATTTTTTTCTTGTTCCAATAAATTCCCCCAATTATATAATTTCATTATAAAAATTTAACCCTTGGGAAAATTAAGGGGGTAAATATAAACAGGATTTTTTTTCTTGCTAAAAAAATAAAATTTCTTTATTTTTACAATAAACCTTGAAAAATGTTTTATTTTTGGGGATGAAAACTGACGTGGTTTTTTCCCCGAGGCGGTTTTTTCCCCCAAAAAGGGAATTGTTAAAAAAATTGTAAAAAAACATTTAAAAAACTTCTTTTTTTCAAATCTACTCTTTTGGGGCTTTTCAAAAGGAATTTTCGATTCCCCTTACAAAAAGGACGAAATACGGAAAAATAAAAAGCAAAAAGGTTTTTTTTTTTATGCCAAAAAATAACTTATAGTTTTTTTGTCTTGCCCAAATTTAAACAGAAAGGGGTTCAGTAAAATTAAAAAATAGGGCCTTTTAGGCCCGTGGCTAAAAAATTCCCATTTTTAAAAAAAGCCTTTTTTCCCTTTTCCCCCCAAATTTTTTAAAATAAAGAAAAATATAAGGTTTATATGGTTTTTCTAAAGCCCAAAAAAGATAATTTCCCGGCCGTAAACCCCCGGGTACTTTTTTTTACTTTTTAAAATTTTGGAAAAAATTTTTTTGATAAACCCGCAAAAATCTTTAAAAAAAAAGCCCAGTTTTTACTTACGTTTTTCCCCTCCCGTTTCCCTTGAAGGATCGCCCTTTTTGTAGAAAAAATGTTTTTAAAAGTAGTAAAATGATTTAGATTTTTTAAAAATTTTTTTACATGCTTCCTTAAAAAAGTCCCCCCAACAAAACAAATTTTTATTTCCCCAAAAACCTTTTTTACAAAACAAAAAAACAAAAAAAGGGAAATAATAATAAAAAAAATAATGTTTTTTCCCCCGAATTTTTAAATAAATGCATGTAAATTTCCAGTAAACTGTAAGGATTTCAAAACTACTAAAACGGTGTGATGGCTAGGAACTATTGATCCGTTTTATTTAAGTCAATTAATTGCACAAGTATGACTCAAATGCCGCAAAACAATAAATCTTAATACCATGGCTATCCAGGAACTTTATAAATTAAATTAATACAGTCAATAAGGCATCGTTTTCGAAAATTATGTGTTCAAACACTTTGGCAAAGCAAGAATTTCATTAAATATAATTATATGTTATATCAGGTCAAAAATATTCAACTTTCAGAGAAAAGTTATCATATTCTTTAGATTCAGAAAAGGAAAATACTCCATATAAGTGGGGTGACAAATTGAGTTCCTTAATCCAGTCTTACTATTTGGTCTTACTATTTATCAAACACACATGAAGTTAACCTGACAAGATATTTTGCAAGAAAGATTACACATTTGCATAATAAACAGTAAAAAGACTTTTGTACGGAAAAAGATAAAGTTTTTGATATTTGAACCTTAAATGTAAAAAACCCCAAAAGAAAAACTTTTTTTTACCTATTTTTTAAATTTTTAAAAGGGAGTTTTTTTTCGAAGATATATTCCCCATCTATGTTTTTTGTAAAAATATACCCAAAATGTAATGAGAAATTTTCCCAGAAAACAAGACTTTTAAAACTTACAAATTATACATTTAAATTTTTAATTACCTATATATTTCACATCTATTTTCAAAGTAAAATATATGCAAACCCAAAAAATATAGGGTTTTTTAAAACTGAGACAAAATGTGGGTTTTTAGACCCAAATTGCATATGTTTCAATTTTAAAAACATACTTAATATAAAATTTATATTAAATAACATATTTAAAGAAAACTGTTTTGTCTTTAAAAGGCACGTTCCTTTAGTTTGCTTGAAGAATGAATGTCTCCGCCGCTTAGTTATTAGATTGAACGTGTTGGCATTTTAACCATACTGTATACTCAGTCAATTGCGTAGATAAAGTTCTACAAAGCTTATTGAAAAAAGGTTAATAAAATATTGTTACCTTTTGGCTAATAATGTAGATTCCATTCTTTAAACATTTAAATAGTTTCCAACAAAACTTAAAAACTAACAAGAGGTTACATAGTGTCACAGGCAGATGGACCGACCAAATAACCTTAAATCAGAAAAAAAAACGCAATCAAAAAATAAATAATATTAAGCGAAATGAAACATAATATGCAATATTAAAAAGAAGCTAAAAGATAAAAATGCTCTGAGCTTATTGTCTACACTATTTTTTTTCTATTATTTTATTTTCAACGGTTATCATTTGTAAGCTTTAAAAATCATAACTTTGCTCCGAGATTGAATTTATTCCTAATGAATATTTTGTAACATTGACTTGATCAGTACAAAATCTTTGCAAATGTTAAAAGGTATTTTATTGTTTTTAAAAACCTATTTATATTGTATTAACGTTTTTTCCATGTAATGATAAAGAAAATAAGCTTTGTCTTTGCAAACAATCACTGCAACTGAAGCATTAAATTAAAAAAAAAAAATAAATAAAATCGGAAGTCTCGGGATACTAAATAACACAGATTTGCACTTCCTTATTTTTGCGACTGGCTAGTCTGAATAAAACAGGTGGACAAATACTCCAAGATATATTTGTTCCTTACTTTTTAATAGACCTAGAATGAAGGTGGATTACAACTTCAGGAAACATATAAATTCTCGACAGAAACGTTTTGCATTGGTTTATGTACCAATTTTAACCACGTATTTGGTCTGATGACATCCTCGAATGCAAAACTTTTCATAACGCCCATTTGTTATTAACAAAACATCTCTAATTAAGGAAAAACCAACGCTTCAGAGCGCGTGTAACAGATGCAGTTATAAGAGATAAGATATTTAGACATTTGCCCCGCATGAGATTTATTGAGGGCGCAAAAATATGCACATAAAAACATCTGATACATACACAGAACATGTACATCGAATGATGCACATTAACATTTTGGAATGGAAAAGAAAATAAAACAAACTGAATCTCTTAAGAACGTTACAAACTGCACAATTGAAATGAAATGCTTAAGTCTGTAAATGGACAGTAATGGTACATGCAAGCTACCATACACGCCTAAGCACTGACCTAATCAGTATTTAATTTTTAAACATGTAATGGTTAAGTTTTGAAATTAAATCATTCAGAGATGTGTGCATGCAGCTCAGATCATCGAACTTTCAAAGTGTCATTCTATAAAAGTGGCGCATGGTACCCAAGTAAAAAAATTGTGCTTGAAACGAGAATACAATGGAAGGAACAATACAAACTGTAATTTTGAAAGAAGATTTGAGGTTATAATTAAGGAAGTAGTATTTTAGTCGTTTTCTGGATCAAAGATTCAGAGAAATGAATTATTGTTCAAAATGAACAATTTAACAGTACTGTTTATTTAAAAAAAAGTGGAAACTTATGGACTTAATTGCTTCTTTCCAGTACCATCAAAGAACAGGCTAAACAAAATCGAGACTACAATATTTCAATTATGTTGCTTTGGGCGTTCTTCGGGTATTCCGTTTTGTTAATTAATTCTAAATGAAAGCATTTAAGCATTAACAATATATACTTTTGTTTGGTGTTATTTGTACTTACCTTTCTTTTACATAATATTCTGCAATATATTTTCTATTATCTATATTTCTTATAGCACGCCAGAGGCACAAGAGAAATTGGTATATTGTAAACGTAAATTCGTACATGGCTAGTAGCCTTATTTGCCAATATGTGATTCTATACCAAACAGAGAAGTTATACAACCAAACTCAGAAGTGTTTCAAGTCAAAAGACTATTAAGGATATTGACTTCTACAGATGTAAGAATTCATTCAAATACAAGAAGAGGTCAAAAAGCAAGATAAAAACAGGTTGTCAGAGCCACAGTAAGAATTACAGTCATAATTATGATTTTTATTCCATGCATTATGTTCCTTGTTCTAATTTATGACAAACACATTTTTGTTATTTCATATGGATCATACGTCTCTTTTCATTAAGTAGTGTAAAATTGTCACATTGAATGTTCCAAGGCATCAGACATATGAAACTATGAATATAGAAAAGACCTCTAAATAAGGAAAATAATACTTTTTTCATAATAAATTGATGTTATTTAACAGTTTAACAAACTCAAACAGAACTTGCAACATTTCAATTTTACCAATTTTTGGGATAGTGAAATCTCCATATTAACCGGTTTATGTGTAAAGTAAGCAAACAATATATTAAGTTCATTCAGGTTCATTATATATATACAACGATACCGACGCTTTAGTGCCCTTGTTGAATTAAAGAGTACATGTTAAAAGAAATTCCACTTTTTTCTTTTTGTTAAAACAATCAGAAAAAATACCGTTGTTTATGATGATGATCTATATTTATGTACTGCCTTACTTTGACTAAACCGCTGCTTGAAAGATGACATAGAATAAAATTTTTGGATTGCACCTTTTTATTTGATAATTTAAAATCATTCGTTTTGATTGCGTTCTTACTCGGTTTAGATCCCAGCATCCTATTGTAACGACTTGTACCATCTCAAAAGCGAACCTAAAACAAAGCAAAAACCAACATATAAATATACACCATTTAAGAAATAGTAAACAGCACTGATGGCCCCATGGCACTACAGTGACTGATCAGTCAGTCTGTAAGCATTTAATGGTCAGGTCTGTTCAATATTAGGGTTTGACTGTGAGGTCACTATAATGCTTTGAAGTATGTGCTATGTCTTCAGCGTAAAAGAAAATCATATTGTTTAAACAAAACATGTCTAATTTAATGTACTGAAAACGGGTTGTATTGCTCGGTATGTAAAATATTTTATCTAGGTAACACGCAGCTTAATTTTAACGGTCCGAAAAAAGGTAACATTGCCAGGTCGGGCGTTTACCATACTCTTTTGTCCCACCGCTGCAATTATCTTGACAATTATATTATTTAAAGTACCGCTGACAATTGAATGTACAAGGAAAAACTCATTTATGTATTAAAGGTATAATATTTCTTAATAAAATAAAATTTGTGTGGCGGCATAGCCGAGTGGTTAGCGCGTCGGACAAGTAATCTAATGATTGCTAACCGTAGGGTTCAAAGCCCGTCAGGAGCAAACTGTTGTTTTCTTGTCATTGCTCAGTACTGGTTGGTTTCAAAAAATGTGTCTATAACAATCGAATTAAAATAAAATCTGTATAAATAAATAAATTGTCACCAACAGTAGTGTAACATATATAACTAATTAATCAAACTGAATAATTTTACTTCAAAACAATTTTTGAAATACCGCAAAAAAAGCCTTCCTCAATTTGTTTATCCTTTATGTAATACTTACATTTATGACTAAGTATTTTTGTAAAGATTTAGATGCAGTCTGTTGAATATTCTTGATTTCTCGTCATATCAACTGCTAACTAATTTTCACTTAAGCTAACTATCAAACTAAAAAATGTAATCGTTTAACCCAAGATAATAAAACAGTGAAGAACAGTCAAATTAGTAAAATGTTAATGCTACCAAAACACAATGTTCTGAAAAACTTACCATCCTAGAGAGTAAAGAAAACCCGCTATAGCGCCAACTAATTTATGACGTGTCGTCATGCAGGCAAATAAGGGATAACACACAACACTAGTCTCCAGACATAAAATGTATACCATAAAAACTGAAAAATTATGAAACATACTAATAACTGCCATGTTATAAAAATAGTTTATTCTCATAATTTATCAAATAAATCAAAATGAAATCTTCAATAGCCATTCGACCTTGCAGAATTGAAAATGCTGCAAGTTCAAATAGATAGAACATAAAACGCTCTTTTTTAACTAAATGCAACCAATTTGACATAATACATAACAAAATTAATATTTAATAATTAAATGGACACAATTATTTGTGGCGGATAACAATATATGTCTGCCTTTTGTCAATAATTAAAGTAACATGTTAAAAATTATGCACGACAAAGAAACAAAAAAATCGTCCAAGGCATTTAAAACTTATTTATTTGATTGGAACTATAATTAAAGTTACGGAAAAAGCATTTTTTCCACTTTTTTAACTTTTCATAAAAAGTAATCTATACTAACTCTTTCGGTTTCCCAAAAAACCAAATCTGTTAATAACTCTATCTATAATAAGGTGAGCTTGAAAATATATTAAAATACATTTGCACGGTCGATTGCATCCCCCCTTAACTGTGCCCCTTCCATGAGTAACTGTTACAAAAACAAAATATCCTTATCCTACTAACAGGGGCTATTAAAACAAATAACACTTTTCATGCATTTTTGCTAAATCTCAAATATATAAATTCATAACCCTAATTGCATAGTAGACAGAAGATAGTTTAAGCTTTTACAAAAACATTTTCTGCTATTTATAAACTGATTGTCACTCAACACTCTCATTTATGTCAATGTTTATATGCAAATATCTTGATTTCCAAGTTTGGGAACAAATATTTTTGTTCACTCTCAATGAAACTAACAAATCTTTATAATTATCAAGTTGTTATTTTAAACATAGGGCAATAAAATTAACTGATAACCTAAACATACACTATCTGTCTAAATACTAAATACTAAATTACCAAGACAAGAAAGAATTTGTCAGAAAAGACAAGTAAGATAGTATAAAATATACCTAGCAATACACCTTAAAGAGAAATTGAACAATTCAGTTGTCGGAAAACTGGTGTAATGCTATGGACAATTAGCTATTTTCTTGTTATATTTTATATTGTGTATAATAAATAAGTGAGTGAAATATTTGTATTGAATTTCATTTTAAATTTTATTTTGTTTTTTTCTGATATCAAAATAAGAACAGCTTAGTGTTCTTAACTAAATTTTAGTTGTTTAACATCAAAATTTACAAAATGTACATAGAATCAAAGTACAACTTACCTAGATATAAAAATATAAGAAAGTTTAACTTTTCCAGCTTTTATTTATTTTTTAACACATATAGTAATTAATCAGGCAGAATAATACTGCCAGCTGGAAAAGGGATCTTTTAAGGGGTTCTCTCACTGTCCATTGGTTTAACTTAGTAACATTATTTCTGGAGAGGCGGAACTACGTACAAGTTCTGGCTTAAGTCTGAAAATACTCGTGAAATAACTTACATATTTTCTAATCACTATTAGTAAATTTATTTGTCTATGTTTTTAAAAGAATTAAGTTTATCACAGATGTTAATATAACAAGCATTTTGCAATTCTTTGTCTAGTGTAAAAAGTTTTTAGCACGCTGGCTTCTCTGTAAAAACATGTCACCTGTTTGAGACATTCTAATTGACCACATACATGTAAATGTACTTGAGATTTAACAAAGAAAAAGGGTAAAACTATAATTTAGTTTTATCATTTATAAATATATGCCTAATTTTGAAATCAGAAAATACAAAATGAAATTTAAAATGAAATTCAATACAAACATTTCACTCACTTAAATTATTTAATATTCAGTACACAATATAAAATATAACAAGAAAATAGCTAATTTTCCATAGCATGACACCGACATTAACCTTATTTAAATCAAATAATTATTTTGACTCATACTTTTATAAAACAAAAGTGTCTTTAATTATGATTACACCCAATATCAACTTACTTTTTGCCCAGATCGGCCAGTCTAGTCCTTCTGGGACCAATTTCAATGTTACCTGTAGTATGTTCCCAGCCACAGATCCAAATGCAAGCATGACACCCCAGCGGTTAGAAGGCTCATCCAAAAATCCAAGCGGTCTAGAAATTAATAATATTAAGTCGATATGTTGTAATTGTTTGTGTGTGTTGATATTGTTTTCTTTGGCACCCATGCATAACTGTTATATATTTCTTTATAATTTTATTGTCGTAAGCATATTTCAAGCGAATACCGTGCGTTCATATACTGACAATGTTGAGTTTTCTAATGTCTTATTAGGGGATTAAGTCTGAAAATCGATTTATTTAAACAGTCGATAATAAATTGCATTACAAAATCATAAGATGAAAATAGCGCATACAGACAAAAGAAGACTTTTTACCGTACAACACCCGGACGGCCTCGAAATATGTTTGGTTTTAGCGTCTTTCTTTTCTCCATAAAACACAATAACAGCATGATGGCGACCTTTACAATAACGTAAATTATGAAAATAAACGCATTGATAGTTTTAACTGTTACATGAAATAAGGTTTTGTTATAACAAATTTAAATCGACATTCTTAAACTAATTCGGCAAAAAGGATGCGATGCAACTTATTGAGAAACACTATTATTGACAAATATTTAAAACAAATGTAATAATTCCTTTCTAAGACACATCGATAACATGCATTAGGTTTTACAAAATTGAAATATTCAAATATAAGAAAAACATGTATCTAGTTTAGTTACTTACAGCTGGAATCAACAACCAGTGAATATAATATATAAATATATTTTCTGCATCTTCGTTACAAATCTGTAACAATGGATCGACTGTCGTCAAAAATGGATTGACCGTTGTTAATAATGGACTGACTGTTGTCAACAATGGGTGAACTGTTGCCGTCGCCATGTTACTTTCTTTTCTTTGATGGCTGTGATAATGAACGTAGTTATGTTGATTATGTTTCTACAGTAAAAGCGAAAATACTATTGTTGTTGCAGATGATGATAATTATGCGTACTCGGATTGTACCGCAGATGGAAATAATGATAGTGTCACAATGTTACAAGCGATGTTGAAGGCAATTGTGATTACGCAATTAGTGATGTGGTTGATACTGACGATTAATGTGGTTGTGGTTATAAAAGTAAGGGTGGCGGTGATTTTAATCCTAAAACTTTGTCGGTAATAATGTCGTTGTTACAGGGTTGATAGTAATGATAATGATTGTTTAAGGGGATTATCTTTATGATGATACTAGAATGAATTGTATGATGTTAATAATGTTAGGCCTGTTATTGTCGTGGTGGTGATACTGATTTTGAAGATGTGGCTACTAGTGTTGATGTTGATAATTATTGTTTGTGTTGGTGGTTTGTGGTGATGGTGGAAGTGATTATGACAATGACGATGATTTTGCTTTTGATTGAATAACTACCATGAATTTTGTTTGCATTTAAATTGGTGATGTTGATGTGGTGTGAATAAAATCTAGCCTTTGTCTCTTGTGTTTGTTTCAATGACATTTAATATGCATAAAGTAAGATAGAAATAATAACTGGTACGAGTCATTAAACGATACTTGCACCACAAGTGCAGTCCACGGAAACCTCATGCATAAAATTTAACTTTAAGCATATATATATATATATGATAGTATTGATACTATTGAACGTCAAATAAAAAGACGACATTGATTTAAAAGGGTGTCATATTTTGAATGTCAAACATATACTTGCTCAACTTTTGCCAAGCGCCATATGTTAGAATAACTTTAACTTTATCAATGCCGTGTGGAAGGTTTTAAATGTTGATTTACTGTTTTATCAATTCTGCTGAAGGACGAATTGAACCATATGAATGAGTTTTACACTGATTTTGTGCGAGAGAAGAGGATGACACACTATTTGAAAATTTCAGAACATGCAGCATGTTTTCAAAATTTGTTAAATTGCATTTTAGACTTAATACCGTGTGTGTGACTCGTGACTATCAATGGAAGCTTGGCAGAGCCTTCTCATACGCCCTTCCTTGTAGATTTCTGATCAGTCTAACGGGTATGGCTATACCTTCTTGGACCAACATGGCTACAAGTTTCTCGGTGGTTCTGTGTTGCAGCTGACGAGCTGAAATGGTAACCTTCAGCTCATTTCACATGTGTTCCGGAACTTCCGTTGGATTTAAGTCAGATGAACTAGCTGGCCAGTCCATGCGTTAAATAGGCTCTCTTTCTAGGTTGTCCTTGGCCACCCTGGCCCTATGGGAGCGAGCATTGTCGTCCATTAGAATAAGAATAGACTGATCGCCGACTGCTCCACCATACAACCTAACCTGGTTGTCTAATATGTTGTCTTTGTATCACTAACCTGAAAATGTGCCTCTTTTTAGCACAACCAGGCAAGTTTGTCCCAAGCTGATGCCTCCTCAGACCATAACTGACCAACCTCTGTAGCAGTCATGCTCAGCAATATTTGCAGCCTGAAACCGTTCATCTCGTCTTCTCCAGACTCTAGCACGTCTATCTGTGAAGTCTATGCAGAACCTTAACTCATCTGTGAACATAGCGTGTCTCCAGTGTTGCATGGTTCATAGTGTATGCTCCATGGTCTATTCCAAACGGGCTTGGTGATGTCGACGCGTCAAGAGGATACGTTTGCAAGGTCTTTTCGGTGCAAATTACCTTCATGCAGCCTTATACGTACCGTCTTCGTGGAAACACTGACCCGCGCAATTTTAGTAAGGCCATTTCGAAGAGAAGTTGCATTCAAAAACCTCGCAGAGGCGTACCTGAACGACCAAAAACGGTCTTTAGCTGATGTTGTGACCCTTTGTCGTGCCCCAGCATGCCTTCTTGCGGGTGTACCATGTAGCTGGTATCTCTCCAAGGCTATGGTGATGACGGCCTAATGTAAGCATCCTCCATATCAAAGTGACAGATGTAAGAAATGTAAGCCACTATATGAAAATAAGCCGGAAATGTCGCCGTATAACAAAAGCCATGTAATTGTTCACCCCATCAAAAACATGAAAATTTTGGGTTGCATGTTTTTAATGGAAAAGTCAAACGGATGCATCTCAGGTGTCTATCTCAAATAATTTCTGAATCAGAAATATTAAGAAATTGGGA